AAGCCAATAGCTGCAATTTTATTTGTTTGTTTATTTTTGGTTGGAGGGTAGATAGTAAAGTATGAGGTGAGGTCCTTAGCTGAGAGAGTGGAAAGAAGGTTAGAGGCCGGAGGAGAGAAGAGGTTTGGAACAACCAGGATGGAGAGTGGGATAGCAGATCAGTTAGGGAGAAGTCCAAAGGATTGCCTTGCTTCAGTGAGGGACCAGTTGAGATTAGATCACCTGAATTTGTAATGAGCCCAGACAGCCTGGTTTTGTACTTTTCTCCAGTTATATTCAGGAACATGTGACTAGAAGTGAAGGAGGCCAATGGTAGGAATAATCCAGGGTTGGAGCTGCATGTTTTGCTCACCTTAAAGTATACTACAAATGGTGGCTCCTATTATGTCTGCAGTATGGGTCTGCCCAGAGAAAAGTAAGGGAAAATTTTAAGTTGTTTAGTCAGGAGGAAAATTCATCTGAGTAAAGTGTTGGAGGGTAATAGAGTATTATGGAAAGAGCATTGGATTGGTTGGATCTTGCTTCCATGACCCTGAGCAAACCCAGTCTTCTCTGTGGGTCTCTGTCTTCTGATGTAAAATAAGGGAGTGGAAGTCTCGATGATCTCTAACATGCATGCTATGACCCTGTGATTCTAGGACATACATCGCCCACCCCATTATGGCTGTAAATATTCAGTGTTTGCCTCTGCCCATTGTCTGACTTGTTTCCACTTGCTTCTTTGCAGGTACTGTCCAAAGTGTAAGCAGCACAGAGAGGCCTCCAAGCAACTGATGCTGTGGCGCCTTCCAAATGTGCTCATTATCCAGCTGAAGCGCTTCTCCTTTCGCAGCTTCATCTGGAGGGATAAAATCAATGACATGGTGGAATTCCCTCTCAGGTGAGGAGCCTTGGGCAATAGTTGGGAGGAGACAGAAACCCATCCTCAGAGGTCCTCAGGTCTGAGCCCTTACTCTCTCAGGATGGGGAAGTCCCTTGTCAAAGAAGATGACAGCACAGGGAGAAATTGTGCCTTGCACATAGTAGGCATTTACCAGGTGTTTGGATGAAGGATTCGTGGACAGAAATAGCAAAATATGACATATTTGCCATGACCAGAGAGCCTCTGCTAGCTCTGAGTTATGAGGGAATAGAGGACAAGGTCAGATTTGGCAGCTCTTCTGGAAAGGGTCTGAGAAATCTCCCAGCTGGTCCTTGTCATTTCATGGGATCATGGCAACCTCTTTTCCACCAACCTAGGAACCTGGACTTGAGCAAATTTTGCATAGGCCAGAAGGATGACCGGCAGCTTCCAACCTATGACCTGTATGCAGTCATCAACCACTACGGGGGCATGATTGGGGGCCACTACACCGCTTATGCCCGCCTGCCAAGTGACAAGAACAGCCAGCGCAGTGACGTGGGTGAGAGAATGTCCTGTTCCCTGAGGAAGAGGCCTCCCAAAAGTGGTCCAAGCAAGGATTTGGACGGGTCCCCTGGCATAGTTCAGAACTTTTACCTTCTTCCATTAATCTCCCCCAAACCTTGATGTGTTGAGGCTTTATGGGATCTTGGCCTCAGCTTTCAGGTTTTTTTGTTGTTTGGTTTTGTCCAGTTGTTTGTGACCCCATTTAGGATTTTCTTGCAACAGATACTGAAGTGGTTTGCCATTTCCTTCTCTAGCTCATTTATAGAGGAGGAAACTGAGGCAAACAGGGTGAAGTGACTTGCCCAAAGTCACACAGCTAGTAAGTGTCTGAGGCTGGATTTGAACTGAGATCTTCCTGACTCCAGGCCTGGCACTCTATCCACTACTTCACCTAGCTCCTTCAGTTTTTAGCAAACCCGTATTTCCATTATGTGACCCCTTTTACAGTTCCTTTGCCCCTCTAAGTGAACCAGATTCTACAGTTCCCACTTAAGTTCATTCAGAGCATCCTATGCTTTTGCCTGGTCTTTGCTGCATAAAGAATGGCATTTCCCAGAAGTCTGACATAGATCCCTTTTTTAGGAGAAAGTAAATTTAGACCAGGGTTAAGAAACTGCTTTTCTCATATCCTGGGGAGAGGGGCTGGAGGGGGTCTTACTTTCTTTGTGAAGGGACATGTCTACTTTTAGTAATTCCTCCTTGTTCTTGCCCACCCACAAAGGCTGGAGACTATTTGATGACAGCACAGTGACCACAGTAGATGAAAGCCAGGTAGTGACCCGCTACGCCTATGTCCTCTTCTATCGTCGGCGAAACTCTCCTGTGGAGAGGCCTCCAAGGGCCCCTTCTGCTGACCACCACCCTGATCTGGGCCCAGCTACTGAGGCGGCCACCAGCCAGGTGAGAGGGAAACCTGCATGATGTGAGAGGTTGCGTGTGGGGTACTTAAATACTTGCAGTCAAGAGAAGGAGATGGGAGGGAATATGAGGACCACATCATTCCTTGTTTTGCCCTGCTTCTTGGTGGGTGGGGTGATTGGCTCTGATGCAGAGACATTTGCCCTGGGGATCTCTATTGAGCTATGATACCTGACTCATGGGCAAAGCACCTTTCATTTCATCTTTCCCTGGCTTTTTCCATCCATGCCCTCCCTGTTGGTATTGGGCAGTAGAGGCTTCTTCACATCCCCAGTGGGGCTGAGGAACCTAGGTTCTGTGTCTATTGTATACCCCAGTGAGCCCCGAATATGCCACAGACTTGGGGATTTGGCTGTAGAAGAAAGCAGGGCCTCTGAGGGGCCCAGGCACCCAAGAGTGCTGGCCCCCAGCAGGGCAGCCAGTCCACTCATGCGCCCACGCTGACACACGACACACCAGACATGCAAACGCACATGCACTCGCTAACCATACTGATCCAGGGAGACTCTTCTCTCACATGGAGGATGGGCTTCTAGGACTAAATGATTCCAGTCCTTTCAGACTCTTAGTCTTAGATGCTCATATGTATCCTGCCTCTACTGGAGCACCTCTGCTTGATGTGTTAATCATGTGTTCTCCTGCCAACACACACATACACACATACATACATGCTGTTGAAATACCAGTGCACACACACGCCGCTCACACTGATTGCCCCTGCTCAGAGGTGAGTACCTGCTTTCCTTACCCTGAGTATTACTTCTTAAGGCTGAGCCTTCTGGGGTTGACATCCTTCAGCCCCATGGAGCTCAGCCTCCAGGAGAAGTTGCCTCAGTCCACAGGCCCTGAAGCCAGACCTCTAAAGAATAGGGATGCTGTGATCATGGGAGGCCTTGGGCTTTCTCCCTCTCCCTCCCAGTGAGGGGATCTATCTGAACTCTCTCTGGAGTGGGAGGCACCAGCCTTCTGCCTAAACCCACCACCTCTGCCATCAACACATTGCCACTTCTGACAGCATGCGGGTATAGTGGGCATAATCTGTCCTTCAACTCGATCCGTCAACTCTGCTCTCCACCTCCTCCTTCACTGGGCTGGGCTCCATGGGAATGCCAGGGGACCATCCCCTCTGACCAAGCCTGGCACATAGGAGGAACTCCAGATGTGGGCAGAACAAGAATTCTCTACCTGAAGAGACCAGTCATAGGCCAAGGCCATTGGAGCTTTGGCTTATGGGGGAAAGAAAACCACGCTGTGATTGTTTAAGCCCTGCAAGTGCATGGGGCAGAGCTGCACTGTGATTGGCTGACCAAGTTATCTGGGTCAGGGAAGAAAAGCTGTGCTGTGTTGGGATGTCTTCTGTGAGCAAGACTCCTTTCATCCAGAGGAGAACTGGGCAGTGATTTACTGGATCCTTTTTGATCCTGGGGGCTGGAAAGCTGAACTCTGACACATTGTACTGGAGAAAGTCATGCCAGGATTGCCCTGTGCCCCATTGAAATTCAACTCAGATGATCACTACAGATGGCTACCACCTACCTTCTGACTGCTTGACCCTGGGACTGCAGGTGGACAGCCCCAGCACCCATTCCTGGGGTGGCCAGGGTGGGGCTCAGGGCTTTGGGGGGTGGGGACACCAGGGGCCACATCCCATCCTGTCCTGTCTTCCCGCCCCCTGGTGCTGACTCAAGTTTCCGCACACCGCAGGCTTCCCGGATCTGGCAGGAGCTGGAAGCAGAGGAAGAGCTGGGGCCAGAGGCCTCAGGACGCCTGGGCCACTGGGGGCCCCGAGGCTGGGCAGCCCCACCGAGGCGGGCCCCTGACGCACCAGATGAGGGCTGCCTCCGCTACTTCGTCCTGGGCACCATGGCTGCCCTGGTGGCACTCGTCCTCAATGTGTTCTATCCACTGGTGTCCCAGAGCCGATGGAGATGAGTTGCCTGCCTGTAGACTGGCCCCTCTGGGGAGTGGATTTGGACCCCAGTGTGGACTCAGGGCCCTGGCTGTGTTCTGTACACTCATGTCTAAGGGCTGCCTGCCAGCCTCCCCCAGGAGAGAATAGGCTTCCGCCCAGCCAGTTCCTGATGCCTCAGACCCTGAGCTGTGTCCCTGGGCCACTTGCCTGCTGGGCCCCACATCTAGCCCCAGGCCATAAGCATAAACCTGAGGTTACAGGGATCCTGTTCTCCCTTCTTGCCTTCCATCTATGAGGCCCAGCCCTAGGTCCTTTCCCTTTCCATGCCCCCTATTCCCAGGCTACTTTCCTGTATTTAATGTGTCAATAAAATGAAATTGTTCCCAGGCTGAGTGTCTTATCTCTTCCCTCTGGTGCCTCTTAACTGCGTCTTTACCCTATGCGCGCCTAATGTCCTAAAAATGTACTAGAGTACCCCCACAAATTCATGTGCCCCAATTGCTCACTGGTGAGAGGGAGGGGGCCCACACCTTAGGGAAGGAAGAAGATCCTGGGTACTGTTGGAGGGGGATGGGTTGCCTCCTCCATACTGCCCCTCCCAGCATTATGTTCCATTTACAGGGAATGGGCCCTGCGCCCTTCACGCCTGGTCTGGACCCTGAGGGGGGCCCCCCGATGACGCCCGCAGAGCTGTTCCCCCGCCCCACGGAGCGCCCCACCCCTACCTACAGCAACATGGAGGAAGTCGACTAGCAGGTCCCTGGGTGGGGGGGCCCTGGGTGGGGGGAGGGTGTATCTAGCAGGGCTTTCTGGCTTTGGCCTTCTTCTATGCCAAGCACCTTGTTCACCCTCAGCTTTCCCCCTCTCTAGCTCCTAACAGCTTCCCTCAGCCTTTCCCTCCTCTAACCGGGACCCAGGCTCCATTTGGGGGGTGGAGGTGGGAGGGAGCTGGAAGGTTTGGGGCTTCTGAGGTGGTGCCTTGGCTGTCTGCAGTCAGCCTGCACCTCTCGAATGTCCACACACACACACAAATGTGCACCAGCCCCCCGAATAAGACCCTGGATTCTTCCCTGGCTCTGAGCCTAGCCCCTGGTGCCCTCTGTGTTTAATTTCTCTCAGTTGTACTTTCATTTCTTTCCGATTTGCATTTTAATTTTATTTGAAATATTGTAATTTTTTTTTGCATTTGGGAAGTGATTGCTGCTGTTTAAATATATTTTAAACAATAAATAAGTAAACCTCAATTATTGTAACCTCTGTGGAGGCTGCATTTGGCACTGTCCATCCCCAGACCACCAGGGACCACCTGGTCCTACCGCCTTCTAAGCTGTTCCCACAATTTTGTCTTTCCCCCTACTCATCCAGCCTCTCTGGGGCCAGGATAGAAGAGAAGACATGGATAAGCCCACCCTTTAGAGATAAGGGGGAGCCAGGGAAGCAGGTGGGCACACTGCATGTTTCTGCTGATATTTCTATAATGTTTTGTGCAGGGCCTCATATATGTTATCTCATTTGAGCCCCATCTTACAGATGAGAAGAGAGGTTCCTAGAGGTTAGGGAGTTTGGCAAGGATCATACAACTAGTGTGGCAGGTGACATTTGAACTACATCATTTGATGGTCAGTGAAATTTTTTCGTTTGAAAAAGGTCCTCATACTCAAAACGTTTGAGACCCACTGCTCTCACTTCTAACTTCATGGATGAAGAACAGACATGGAGAAATCGAGCCACTTGTTCAAAGTAATACAAGTAGGAGAAGGAAAGGGAGCAGGCATTTATTAAGCATTTGCTGTGTGCCAGGCACTGTGCTAATTAGCTCTGTACAAAAATTATTTTATTTTATTTTACCAGAAGCAGAGTCAGGGTTCCTACCTAGCTCTTGATTCCACAACTAGAGCTTAGGTTAGGTGCCTCAGGCAGTGCATGGGTAAGGATCCAGTGAGCTCTGAGTGTGGAATGCCTGTTGTAGTTTCTTAGACTCATCAGATTTAGAGTTGGGAGGGACTTTTTGGATCTTCTAGTCCATTTTCCAGACAAAGAAAAGAATTTGCCCATAATCACACAAGTAGTGAAAGTCCAGCATTGAGGTCCAGATCTCTTGACTCCAAATCTGGTAGGGTTTTTGTAATTTATCTAGTTCTACCTTCCATCCTAGCAGCAAGGTAGTGCCATAGCGCACAGAGTACTAAGCCTGGAGTCGGGAAGATTGATCTTTCTCAGTTCAAATCTGACCTCAGACACTAGCTGTGTGACCCTAGGCAAGTCACTTAGCCCTGTTGGCTTTGGTTTCCTCATCTGTGAAAAGGAGCTGGAGAAGGAAATGGCAAACCACTGGATTATCTTTGCCAAGAAAACCCAAATGGGGTCACAAAGAGTCAGACATGACTGAAATAACTAAATGCCACCACCACCACCTTTCGTCCTATGAAGGAATCTTCTGTACACATCTTTCCTTATGGCAGCAGGACATAGTGGAAAGAGTAATGGATTTAGTCGGAAGACCCAGATTCAAATTCCGGCTGTGCTCCTCCACTCCCTGGGTGACCTCCCTTCAGAGATGATGCAGGAAATCTCATCTTTCTGGGCTGCAGTTTTCTCATTCATAAAATGAGAAGATTGGATAGGTTATTTCTAAGGTCCCTACCAACCTTATATCTTGAAATCTTGTGATTAAATCAACCAACCTTTAATCTTCTGTGAGCTAAGTGCTAGGTGCTGGGCATATGGAGACAAATGTGAAATATTCTCTGTTCTTGGAAAGTATCCACTCCGCAGCCCAGACAAATGCATGTCCATGACTATACACAGAACCCCTACAAAGAGCCAGCAGTAGGGGGCTTTGTGCAGAAGGTAGTGCTAGAAAGGGCTCCTGAGGAAAGCCAGGCAGGGTGCATCGTAGGCTGGGGCAGAAGCAGAAGACAATGAGAACTCTGACCTGGGTTTGCATCTCAGCTTGGCTAGATATTACAACCTGTGTGACCTTGGCCAATCTCTTTAAACTCTTTGGGCCTATTTCTCTTATAAAAGAAGGAGCTTAAACTAAATGAGAAGGGAGAAAGAAAAGAAGGCTTCATTAAGTCCTACTATGTGCTAGGCACTGTGCTAAGCTATTTGTAAATATCTCATTTGATCTTCACAACTCCTCTTCAAGGTAGCTACTGTTATTACCCTATTTTAACAGTTGAAGAGACTGAGGCAAACAAAGGCAAAGTGATTTGCCCAGGATTACACAGTAAGCATTTGGAGCAGGATTTGAACACCTTCTCGACTCCAGGTTCAGCCCTCTAATAAACTTCACCACTTAGCTGCCTTTAAAGTCCATTCTAGGTCTAATTGTGATGATCCCAAATCTTGTCTAGTTTCAGTCTCCCTCCCAAGCTGTTCATTCTTTCTGTGTGCACAAGCGTGTCAATTTTGTGAGCTACATTATACAGTGTTAATTTTTATTTATATATAGTTATAGATATGGAATGATAAGATTGAATGATTTAGATTTGCTTTAAAAGTGTTGTTTAGGAGAAACTTATTCATATGTACATTCCTAGAGCCGTGCACATATACAGTCCATTGAGACTGGAAGTAACACTCCAGGTTTGGACTGACTAGGGCAAAGCTGAGTGAGAAGGGTGATTGCCTGCTAGGTTATAAGAGGCTTTTTTGCATGTACAAACCTGTCAGATATATGGGTTGCTTTTAGGGGGAGAAGTAAACTCAGGCCAACAAGCATTTACCTTCCCTCACTGCTGTTTCCAGCCCTGTGCTTGATGCTGTCAGAAACTGGGAGTACACCCTAGGTCAGCTTATAGGGGTAGGGGTGAGAAGATTCTTGCATTCTGCCTGGTTTATACTTATGAACAAAAGTGGGAGTTGAGGGTACATTTTCATTAAGCAAACATTCATTGATCCTTCCCATGGTCCTGAGCTGGAGGCAGAGAAGTCCTTGCCCTAGGGGAGCTCACAGTTTAGGTGGAGAGTTGGGTTGAAGACAGGATGGAGGTGCACACAGAACTATGATAAAAGACAGAATGTGATTAGGGCTGTAACTGGGATGAGATGCAGGACTGGAGGGTACTTTTCCCTGTTGGTCATAGGTCTGGGGGCACTTCTTCCTTCCCCTTATTCATCATCTGTCACCCCAGACAAACTAAAATGGAGAGACTTGAGCCCCCTTGACATTGCCCCACCATCTCCTCTGCTTCTCTTCCCTGTGGCATGGAGCTCAGCTGGACAAAATCATCATTCAATAAACATTAATCATGTTAAAAACAATGATGGTCATGGTTGGGGGGGATTAGGTAAGACAGTCCCTGTTCACATGGAGCTCACAATCTAGTGTGCAGTACATGAGACAAAGACAAAATACGTGAGGACCAAGGGGGGTGGGGGTGGGGGGAAGGTGGTTACTGAATTTGAAGCAGAGGAGAATCAAAGAAGGCTTATTAGAGGAGGTGGTGTTTGATTTGGGCTTTAAAGAATGGGTAAATTCAAGCAAAGGAAGGAGGGGAGAGGATATTCTAGTCATGGTGCAAAGGCACTGCAGCAGGAAAGTATAGGAGAGGGGGCTGGAAAGGAGATACATAGTCCAGTTTTTTTGGTATAGAGAATGTATACAGGCATGATGTGAGATAAGACTAGAAAGGCAGTGTTGGAAGGGCCTTGATGTGGGCAAAAGCTGTAGAAAGCCGTTGAAAATTTTTGAGCAGAAGGCTGACATGAACAGGTTTTTGTGTGAGAAAAGTTATTCAGAGTGAATGAGTACAGTTTAATAGATTCAAATGAAAATTTAAAAATTATTCTAGGAATATAATATGAAAGGAGTGGATTGAGAAGAGTAAGAAAGAATGTACTGCTTTAACCAGATGGTAATGAAGGCCTGTGATGAGGAATAGAGAGGAGAAATAGAGGTGGAATTGACTGGACTAAGTTAACTGATTGGCTGTGAGAGATGGGGGGGGGGAATTCAAGATAACCTCCAGATTATACTGTCTGACTTCAACAGGATGCTAACTACTGCCTGCTAAGAAAGACAGATTTTAACTTAAAAGTGAGGAAAAGGTTCCCAAGATTAGAGCTGTCCAACAGAATAAGTAACTGAAGTAGTCAGTTGTCCATTTTTGGAGGTCTTCAAGCAGAAGCTTGAGGACTTGCCAGGGACTTAGATTTGGGTGCATTGTTGAGGATATTCCTGTTCAGATAGAGATTTGAAACACCTGAGGTCCCTACCAGGTCAGAGGACCAATGACGTCATCTCTTATCCCTTCCCTAGCACGTCCCTGCATAGCTATTCCAAACCTCTTTCCGTGAAGCCAACCCCAACCCCTCTCACAAAAAGACCTCATCTCCTTTACTGAAAAGATTAAAATCATCGACCTGTAATTCTTCATTGCTCCCACACTTAAAACTCCCTCATCTTCATCTATCTCCTCCTTCCCTCTGGCCCGGACTCCTTGTCAAGGCCAACCCTGTCCCGTTGATCATATCTCCTATTCTCACAGAATGGTGGAGCTGTAGTCATGGTTTTTTTCCTGGGGATCACCAACTCCGGAATTCGCTACTACAATGAGCATCATGAGGACTAAGGCTCAGGGCTAGACAGACATTCATCTAGTAAGCTCTATGAGAGTAGTCACCTAGCTTTATCTAAGCTTTGTGCCTTCCCCAGCTAGTGGCTACGAATTCAGGCAACATTTAATAAGTGTCGAATGAATGAATGAATGATGGGAGGGTGGGTTGGATGTAGGAACAAGCATCTTCTGAAGGTGTACTATGCATCTGGTGAAGGAATCCTGAGCACAGAAATACTGAAACCCCAAACCTCATAGGCCCTGTTCCCCAATCCCACAAGCCGCAGTGGGGGCGTGGCTTGAGATGGGCGCTTGTCTGGTCTGTGGGCATTGAATACCTGGAGAAGTGGGGTGGGGGCACCGTAGGTGCCGGCTTGGTCCAGTACCCAGAGCCAGCCGCGGGAGACGCGGACACGCGCAGGGAAAGTGCGGGGACGCGCAAGGGCTGCTCTGTGCCGGTCCGCGCGCAGTGCAGCGCAGGCGGGGTGGGGAAGGGAACCGGAGCTGAGGGAGAGTCGGGAGTGGAGGAGAGCAAGAGGCAGGAGCTGAGCCGGCAGCAGCGGAGATGGGGGAGCATCCGCAGCGGCGGAGGAACCAACCCAGAGGGAGGCAGGGCATACCGGAGCCCCCGGTGGGCAGCGGCCGGGCCAGGCCGGCGGGACTGGCCTCGGCTGGAAGCTGAGCCTGAGGGCCGAGGTGAGACCCCGGACAGGGGTTGGGGGAACTGAACCAAAAGACAAGGAGGGGGACCCCATTCCCCTAGCTAACCGCCCCCAGATGCGAAGTCACTTCCTGTCCTTTTGCGCAGCCGACTTCCTGGGGACCATTAGGCAACCATCAGGAGGTCTGCAACTCCACATTCTCTGTCCCCTGTCAAAGCCGTCCCTACCCCAACCCTGGAATTCAGCCCCATCCATTAAGACTATTTGTGTGAAATCATATGCTGTGACCAAAGGGTGAAGAAAAATGTGCCACAGCTGAGAAGGGGATCCAGGTGTAATGGTCGCTGGGCTGTGTGGGGAGCACCCACTGAAAGATCCCAATCCTTAGTTACAAGAAAAACTGATTTCTCAGAACACCCCCCCTCCAGTCACAAGGCAGTGTTCTCTTAATACTGGTTCCTTTCTTCCATCTTTCATCACTGGAGGCTTTTGGTGGAGGAGAGGAGGGTGAACTCCCTGCCTGAGCCCTAGATACCTAGTCACCAAGAAAGTAAGTAGCCTGAGTCTTAGGCTCTCTAAGGTAACCCTACCACAAAGACTGGACCCGCCGGGCACAAGAGCCTCCATTCTAGGGGACAACTCAGGGCACAGGATCCTATGATTTTCAGACTGGAAGAGACCTTACAGACCATCTAGTTCAACTCTGATTTCTAAATGAGGCCAGAGGCCAGAGGAGAACTAGAACTTGCCAAGGTCACATAGGTAGTAAGTTGCCCATGATTTGAATCCAAGGTCTGTTCCTAAATCAAGGGATCTTTCCTTCTGCCCCAGAGAAAGGAACCCTGCCTTGGCACTGTAGAAGAGCGAGGGGACCAAAGAGACTAGAGAACAGAGGGAGAGACCACTTTACCCTTGGATAGACCCCATCTTTGTTAGAGATGTAAACTAGTGAAAAGTGATTCATTAATCAGATAAGGGCTTAAGGGAGAAAGAATAAAAGGTGTATCTGGGAAAATTAGGGAAAGCATCCTGGCAGAGGTGGGCTCTGATCTGGATTTGAAATGAGAGGTGAATCACCCTTCCAGATAGGTTGGAGTGGGGAGAGCTTATGTCCAAAAGAAACTCAGAAGAGGCTAATCTGGTGGGAAGTCATCTATTAGATACAGCTCAGTGGAATGAAAACATCCTGAGGACCCTGAGCTGGAAGTCAGGGAGACTTGGATTCTTAGCCAGACTCTGACATTAACTTGCTGTGTGCAAGTCTCTTCCTTTCTTTGGATCTGTTTCCCTGACTAGGCCATATGGGAGTTGGAGGAAATGAGCCTTGAGTTTCCTTCAGCTCTGAATTCATGTCCCTAGAGGTAGCCTTAGAGTCAGACAGTTCCCAAAGGGAGCCCCTCTGGGGATAGAGGTAAAGAAGGCTACTGGAAACCGTGTCTCTTTTTGGTTGTTTACAAACACTTGGCTTAACCTAGAGCCTCCCAAGGAACAAATCATCTTCTGACCTTGGCCATGCACCAAGGACATCTCATCCTCAGTGCCAGAGGAGAGAACTATACATAATCTCTCTGAGCCCTGCAGGAGAGAATGAAAGCTGTTTGTCTCCTCTAGGACAGGTCTGCCTGTATCCCACCCCACCAGGAGGCCCCAACCTGGAGAAAAGGGGCAGGTGACCTGAGGTGTAAGTGAGGATGTGGGAGAGACAGGAGCTCAGCCCTTTATTCTCAGCCTCTCTCCTCTCTCCTCTCACCCCCCAACTAACCACTTATGTATGAGGAGGGAGCACAAAGTCAGTATACCTACTCCAGTTATCCTTGGTTAACTGACAGCCATGGCAGGGGGTTTGGTGGAGTGGAGGTGGAATCACTTAGTCATCTTGCCAGATGGGGCAACAGCTGCTGCGTGTCCCCCAATTCTGACACTAGCTCCTTCATTGGAATTATAACATTAAAGCTGGAAGGAACCTTAGAACACAGGATGTTAGAGCTAGGAAAGGCTTTTAAAGATTATCTACTTCACCCCCGCCTTTTACAGATGGGGAAACAGAGACCCAGAGAAGTTAAATAATTTGTCCAAATTCAAACAAGTAGTGGCAAGGCTGAGATTCAAATTTAGATGTTCTTAGGCCAAGCAGTTCCAAGATTCCAAAACAGCACCCCATCCTATGACCCACTCCCTTTCTCCTTAGAGTAAAAAGTGGCTTCAGATATCAGGGTCCATGAAAGGGGGCGGCAGGGAGGGGACACTTAAAGCTGAGTGTTACTCAGGGCCTGGAGCGCAGAGCTGTTGACCAAAGGAAAGGAAGTCAGACACTTAATTCCATTCTCATTTCTCAGAGTAGAAGGCATGCTATTTCAGGAAGGATAGAGACAAGGTTGGGGAGGCCTTGCTTCTCTACTGGAGAGCTTCCAACTTGAGGGGAGGCAGAAGACAGAGGTAATAACTCCCGTTTCTATGGAGCTTTAATGTTGACATGGCATTTTCCTCACAGCATCCTTGTGAGGTGATGAAAATATCATCATCCTCATTTACAGATACTCTGAGAGACTGTAATTTGACCCAGGTCTCCTGATTCTCACTCACTTCGATGCTTTCCTCCTAAAAGTTCCACGTCATAGAATCAGATAAAAGAAGGCCAGTTTTGGATGAGAGGAATAGAAATTCCTCCCAGACTTCCTGGAGGAAGTTTCCAGTGCAGAAAAGGACCTAAAACCCAACCTAGTCCAGCTCATTTTTTAAGCATCTCTCTGTTCTCTGTTCTCAAGCTCTCTGTTCAGAGCACTGTGCTCAGTGCTAGAGAACATACAAAGTTTAGGTAAACAGCTACTTGGTCTGAGGCTCAGAGGGCAAGCAAGTAGCTGTTCATAAAGATCAAGAATGGGGGCAGCTAGGTGGCTCAGTGAATAGAGCTCTGGCCTTGAAGTTAGGAGGACCTGAGTTCAAATCCAGCCTCAGACATTTAACACTTACTAGTTGGGTGATCCTGGGCAAGTCACTTAACCCCAATTGCCTCACCAAAAAGCAAAAGAAAAAAAAAAGATCAAGAATGGAAGAGCCAGGTTCTTGATTGCATATGCTCTTTGAAATACATAGTAACTCATATTTAAATAGTACTTAAGGTTTACAAGCACTTTCCTTACAATAGACAAGCCACACAAAACTCAAGATTCAGCAAGGTTAATTGACTTGGTCAGGGTAAACACCTTTAGTATGAGCTGCACTTAGCACTGTTCCTTTCACTTAGTAGACATTTAAATGTTTATTGACTGACAGGTGGGGGTGGAATTTGCCTAATTGCCAGGGTTAGGAGTGGGTGGGTAGGGGAGCCCCAGTTTCAGTGCTGCAAAATTCACCTCCTTCTCCCTCTCTTACCCTACTTCCCTCCCCTACAGGTGGCTCCGGGATTATGCTGAGCCCCGCCCATGGAGACCCACTCGGACCTTCCGGTGTTGGAGACAAGTGATGGACCCAGAGCAGGGGCTGCAGTGGACAGCTCCGAGGATGCTGGCTGGGCTAGGGGACCGTTCCCTGGGGGCTTCCGGGCTTCACTGGCAGGCGTGCTCCTTCTGGAGCTCGCGCTGGGCCTAGGCTGCAATACTGCTGCCCTGCTTCTACACCGGGCCAGGGCCGGCCCCAGGGCCTCGGCCAGTGCACGCCTCACCCTCAGCCTGCACGTGCTGGACACGCTCATCTGCGCGTTTTGTGTCCCGCTCAGCGTGGCCGTACTCCTGCTGCCCACTACATCGGCTCTTCGCGCTCCGGTCTCGGTGCGCCCCTTAAGCCTGCTCTGCCGTTTCCATGAGGCCGGGGTTACCTTCAGCGGCGTGGCCACGGCAGCCGGCGTACTCGCTGTCAGCCTGGACCGCTATGACATGTCCGCGCGGCCCGCGCGCCGTCGTCTCACGCCCGCGCGCGCGCTGTTGCTCCTGGCCATCGCTTGGCTGCTCTCCCTGGCAGCCTTCTTCTTGCCCTTTGTGGAGGCGGGACTGGCGCCGGGGGCGTGGGATGAGGCGTCGGGTGCTGACAACCGCACAGACGTGTCCTGTGTAGGTACAGGCGGAGATGAGGCTGTGGCGGGCCGAGGGGAGCCTGCTGGCAGGGGCCACCTCCTGGTGCAGATCCCCGCCTTCGTGGCGGCTCTTGTGGGACTGTTGGTGACTTATGCGCGTGTTCTCCATGCGCTGAGCGCGGGCGTCGGTGCGCGAGCCAGTCGGAGGAGGAGAAGGGGGAGGCGGCGAGGACGTGGCTGTGGGTCTGGGGCCGGGGCTGGAGAGTCCCGGGGGCTGAGTCCAATGCCACCGCCGGCAGCGCCCACCTCGGGCCCCGCGCCCCCGCCGCCAGCTCTGCAAACTTCGGTGTCTGTGATTCTAGCATTGCGGCGAGCCGTGCGCCGGCACCGCGACAGACGGGCTCGGAGGCGGCGGGTTTTGCGCCGGTCGCTGCTCATCGTCAGCTCCTTTGTGGGATGCTGGGCTCCGTTGTCTGTGGGCAACCTGCTTCTTCTGTGCATGGGCCCTAGCGAGCGGCTGGCCCGTCTACGGCTCTGCTGCCTGGCGGCGGCCTACGGTACCACAGTGCTGCACCCGCTGCTCTACGCTTTCCCTCGCCGCTCGCTCAGCCGGGCGCTGCGAAGCCAAGCCCGGAGGCACGCTGTGTGCGCCTTGCGACCTGAACCACCCGCTCCAGCAGCTGCTATTGTGAGGAATTCCTGGCTGAGAACGCGCAAAGGCCAGGGCAAGGCAGAGGAAGTCGGGGACCGTGGTTTGGGCTTGGATGGACAGCCCCGGAACTGAGGGCTTCAATCGTTGCTCCTGCCCTGCAGGTGCTCATGGAATGAGGGGTAACTCTGATTTCCCCAGTATCCTTGGTTCAAGGGTGCGAATGGACTAACAGCCCTCATCCAGGTGCATCTTCCCTGTGAGCGCCCGGGAATCATCAGGCTTTTCTGACCTAAAAGGTGTCCACAGACTGAGGGCCTCAGCCTAATGTCCTTGCCCTGGAGGTGGATGCCCACTAGCTGAAGGTCTCATTCATCGAGTCTGTCCTGCAGATGAGCACAGACTGGAGGAGATTTTCTTTGCTCTCCTGCCCTGAGTGGCCTGGGGGCCCAGGACTTGTCACCAGCACCCACCACCTCTGGGCCCCTGGAACCTGCAGGGGAGCTGGAGGAGAGCCTCCTCTAAGCTCAAATTCCTGCCAGCACAGTCCCATCACCCATCACCAAAGAAAGCACAGTCTCCATTCTGTTTCACAGAGTCCCTAGCCACCACAGAGTGCTCAGCTCCTGGGGGTGGTGGGGTGCCCCTATTGGCTGCACCATTAAGGCAATAATGGGGCTAGGGAGAAGAAAACCCCATAGGAGACCCACTGCCCTGACGGGGCTCATCACAGCAATAACTCCAGATGGAGCTCCTCAATTACCCCATTCCTGCCCCCAAAGAGTCACCAGCCTGGGAGTCACCACCTCCCCATTCACAGATTTAGCTAGGGGGTGGGATCCTGTCTGGTCTTCCTGTTTGTCATTGGCTAGCTTGTCCTAGAGGGGACTAAGGCAGGTATCTGTCTTCTCCCTACCACTACTCCCCCCAGGAGGAAAAGGTGTAGTGTTGTTTCTTATGGGGGGGGCGGTCTGAAATGGAAGCAGGCCAGAGTTCCTTCTGGCTTTGGCCAAACTGCCAGGCTTAAGAACTGTCTCTCAGTACAAATCCTACAGGGTGTGATGTTACTGGGGGTGCCCAGGGCCTTTGGCAGCTGCTTCCCCTACCTGGGAGAGAAAAGTAAATGCCCTAGCAGGGAGCTCTATCCCTATACGTAGTTTTTACTTTTAATACTGTCCAGTCTGGTGTGACTTTTCTGGTAGCGTTCAGTTCCCCTGATTTCTGAAGTGGCCCCAGGTCTTTCTGCAAAATACTTGCAAAGTATCTGATCCTTCCCCTCTTAGTTAAATAAACTTGATCACCATCCCTTCCTCTAAAGTTCTGGCCTCTCTCAGGGTCCTTGGAGTGTGGTGTGGAAAGTATAGAGATAATTGGTTCCCTTTTTGTGAGGGGAGAAAGAACCAGTACTTTGGAGTACCAGCTCCATGAAGCCTGAGGAGCTGACTGGTTTTGAAAATAATTTGCATATGTCAACAGAAACCTAAGCTTTCCTGCCAACTGTTTCTTTCACTGGTCTCAGTCAATGCTGCTCTTGTCCCACTTCCCACTCAAATCCTATTGATCAAACTCTGATCTCAAAGACCTTCTAGTCAAGACTGAAGTTCTGGGTTCTGGACCCTTCTTGCCACTAGATCTCACACTATTCTAGGGGAAAGTCACTTGTCAGCAGGTTGTTGGGGAGAGAGATCTGAATGTTCCAGAAGTACATCTGGGGGCAGGGCACGTTCAGTCAGAAGTTTAGTGGGGCCTTCAGAGGCAGGGAAGGCATAAACTATACAGCCATTTGTGGTTCCTGAATCTGACACCCCCCCCCCATCTCCCAGATCTGCTTTCTCTGAGTTAGAAAGGAAAGAAGCAAATTCCTGTCCAAATATAATAAGGGATAAAGGTTGATAGCTAGAAGGGGCTTTACAGACCATCTATCTCAGCTCCTCATTGTATAGATGAAGAACCTGAGGCCCCTGAAATGTGACATGTCTAAGGTCACAGGGGACCTAAGTAGAAGAACTGAGACTTAAATTCATCCAGGGGCAATGTCCTTGCCACTCAGCTGTGCTGCTGAGTTGAAACAAGTCAGGTCCCCTCAGAAGAAAGGTGAAAGTGATAGCTGAAACACTCCAGGAAGACCTGGAAAGTGAAGGAGGGGAAAAGGGGGGTTTGGGGTCGAAAAGAGAAGTTGCCCTTGCCCAACAAAATATTTCATGGTGTAATCTAGTTTGTAAGAATGAATCCCATTGTTTCCCCTCCCTCTGAGTCTGTTTATCTGTAGAAGAGGTGATTAGTATCACCACATCTAGATGGAGGGGAGAGGAGAAAAAAGGAGGGAGGGAAAAGGGGGAAGGGAAAGAAGAGAAGAGGGTGAGACAGGGAGGAGAGACACCTACACAGAACCATAGGCAATGGGAAGACGTATTTCACCTCAACATTGGGAAAAATTTCCCAACAGCTGTCCAGCAATGCAAAAGGCTGGCTCGAAAGATAGCACCTTATCATTCTAGGTGTTTCAGCAGAGGTCACAGGATTCCCGACAGGGATGCGTTAGAGGGGATTTCTAGACTGGTAAGGATGTTAAGAGTCTGTGATCTCAGAGGTCCCTTCCCAACTCAGATTCTAGGAGACCCACAGGTGTCACAGGCGCACCCTTGTGGCTCAATCAAGAACTGTTGCCAGACTGATGGATTTCTGCAATATAGGAATCACTAAGATCCCCAACCTCCTAGAGCCCTGTTCTTTGGAAGCTAAATCCTGCCAGAAGCCTGTTAAAAAGTCACATTGACCTTGGAGCTTCAGCCACTTTGTCAGGTGATGGGGATGAGTCTAAACCCCTAAAAGGAAAAGACCATGTCTTTGGGATCTGGCCCCCAAAAAGGAAAATCCCTGGACTTTCCCAAATCTGTGGCGTTTGCCTGAGGCTGTAATCCACTTAACTGGCCTTTCACTGTGGCTATGCCCAAAGTCCCAATTCTGTTCCATTACTTCCCGATTGCCTCTGGCCACTTCCCACCCTTAATCCTGTCTAGACTCCATTTTCTCCCTAGGCCCCTGTGGATCAGGTCCCTGGAGATCTGTTCACCCCAGCTTACTAGCCATTCCCATCCAGATCCTCCCCAGACCCCTCCTTCAGTCACCCCAAATTATTTGGCCACTCCTAGATCCCTCCCACAGTCTTTCTGTATATAAGGTCCATCTTGTCTGCATTAAGGTGCTCAGATGCTTTAAGAGTCTAGCCAAGGGCTCAGATTCCTAACATCTGGCTCTCTTTCATTAGCAATACAAATGCTTAGATATCTTAAGAGCCTGGCCTATAGGGCAGATTCTTTAAATCTCACCCACCCCTGATTGATGTTCTAATAAACCTTGTCTTTGTCTGAAAGAAGACTTGGGTCTAATTCTCTTTCTGGCAGGACCCATATGTTGTGATTTGGGGATCCTAGCACCCTTAAACTTCTAAACATCAACAGGGGTGTGGAATAGGGGAAAATAGGTATGGCAAGTGGCTAGGCCTAGAACCCCCAGGGCTCAAGGAAACACTTTATAGACTTTTGGATAATAGGTAATGTGTCTCAAAGGCACAAAGTCAGGTATTTTATGAGGCTCTTGAGTGGGAAAAGTTCCAAGAATCACCTAGAAAGGTTCCTATGTTAAGCACAGGAATTGGGGTTGTGAAGCTGGAAAAGTCATATCTATTAAAATAGCTTTCTGTTACCTGGATACTATTGAGCATGACCTCCTAGGCCAAGAGACTACCATGAAAACTGATAGCAGCTGAACAAGGAATATTAGTTATGGAGCTCATTTTAAAAATATCAATATTGATTAGCATCAAGACAGCATTGAACCTAGAGTCAGGAGATCTAGGTTTGAATCTCAGCTTGGAGACATCAGATGTGGAGCTATGGATAAATACATTCTTTGGGCTTTAGTTCCATCTACAAAATAAGGATCATACTATTTGTACAGCCTACTTTCCTGGGGCAGGAAAGTGCTTTGTAATCTTAATCATTTAAAAATGGCCCTGGGAGCAATAGTCAAAGCCAGAGAGAAAGTGGTCGACCTGTGTGAAAAATGGTGGACAAGTGCACTTTTCTGGGCCGCAGTTTCTTCATCTTTAAAATGAGAGAGTTGGATAAATGCTAAGTTCCCTTCCAGCTCTAAATCTGTAAATTTATGAAGTCCTTGCCACCTTCCTTTGAATCTGGGCCCTGAAAGCATAAATTGCCCTCTAGCAAATTACTGAAATCCCCCTTTCCTAAACTAACTGAATGAGAATCCCACTCCCCTCCCTCCTCAGGTTGAAGAGGAGATTCCATTACATAAAATTGAGAGGTAGGATTCCTGTGGCCTGAAATGAGACAAAGAAAATCATCCTTAGAGGATCAGGAAGATCTCAAAAGTGAAATTCCCAAGACTTCAAAATAAAATATATCTATGAGGAAGAAAAGAAGTTGCTGAAAGAAATGGATACAGATACACAGGGAACTCAAATGACCAATAAAAGACATGGATATAAGAGGGAAGCAAGGTAGGTAATGGAGGATAAGCACAAAGCACTGCATTCCTGTGAGAACAATAGTAGGAATGACGTAAATTGGAAAGAGCCAAGGCTGGCAAAGAACAGTAAGGATAATAAAAAGAGTGGGCTTTTATTTTTTCTTTGAACCACAATCCTCCGTGCTTCCTCTGGACATGAAGTACACTTTGGAGATCTCTTAGTTTTCTTGCTTATTTGACGCCCCCCCAGACAGGTGGATACTGGCAACACCAGGACAGCCATACCTTGAAGATATTTCTGATTTGGTTCTGGGCCACCACAATAAAGTGAGTCACAAGAACGTTTTGGTCTCCCAGTGTATATAAAAGTTATGTTTATACTACACTATAGTCTATTAATGTGCAGTACTAATTTGTAAAAAAAAACCCACTGTATATACCTTAATTAAAAATACTTTATTGCTAAAAATGCTAACCATCATTTGAGCCTTTAGAGAGTTATAATCTTTTTGCTGGTGGTTTTGCCTCAATGTTGATGGCTGCTGACTGATCAGAGTGGTGGTTGCTGAAGGTTGAAGTGGGGGTGGCAATTTCTTAAAAAAGGACAAAGATAAAGTTTGCCGCATTGATTGACTCTTCCTTGAACACTTAGAGGCCATTCTAGGGTTGTTGACTGGCCTAATTTCAATATTGTTGTGTCTCAGAGAATAGGGGGGTCTGAGGAGAGGGAAAAAGACTGCAAAGGAAGGTTGGTGGAGAAGTCAAAACACTCAACAATTATCGTAGTCTTATATTAGCTCTGTTCATGGCTCCCTAAAATAATCACAACAATAACATCAAAGATCACTAATCACAGATCACTATAACAGATACAATAATAATAATGAAAAAGTTGGAAATATTTCAGGAATTGCAAAAATGTGACACAGAGATATGATGTGAGCACATGCTTTTTGGAAAAGTGATGCTGGTAGACTTACTTGACACAGGATTGCCATAAACCTTTAATTTGTAAAAAACACAGC